GGAGCTGTGTGATGACCAAAGCGGACAAAAATCCCTACTCATCGTGACAAGAACAGCAAGGGCATGAGGAGCAAGGAGGTGAGGGACGTTGCCGTTCTAGAAAGAGCAGCAGTAGCCTGTGGAAGATGGAGGGTGGGGCAAGAGAACATCCACACGAGGAGCCTCATGGGTAGAAAAAAGTGTGTTGCTCTAAAGGCCAAGGAGCTGGAGCTGAGCAGGTGAAGAAGGACTGCTGGAAATGAGTCAGAAGCTGGGCTGGAAAGCCAGGCGTGGTGGCGCATGCCTGTAATCCCAGCACTTGGGAGGCTGAGGCAAGAGGATCGTTGTGAGTTTGAGACCAGCCTGGGCTACAAAGTGAGCTCAAGGTCAGCCTGAACTGTACAGTGAGACCCTGTCTCAAAAAGACAAACAACACCACCAACAACAAAATAACAAAAACAACAAAAACGAAGCTGGGCTGGGTCAAACAGGGGTTCAGGAAACATGGAAAGAGTTGGATTTTTAAAAAAATTATAGTAAAACACCCATAATATTTTTGTATTTATTTTGTTTCAATTTTATTATTTTTATTAGGACATGTTGGAAGTACATAATGATTACATCCCTCATGGGGAGCAGATAAATGTGTATATAAGACACCTTAATTTTTTTTTTTTTCATTCCCTTCTTTCTCCCCTGGTCCTTCCATCTTTCAGACCCTGCCTTTAACCTTTTGGATATTGCTATGATTTGGATGTGCCTTATCTCTCAAGGACCAGACATTGCTATGAATGTGGAAAGCTTGTCTGTGGAGTGGTGATGTTAGGAGGTGATGGACCTTTAAGAGGTGGGATCTAGTGGGAGGTGGTTAGGTCATTGGGGGTGTGTCCTTGGAAGGGATTAATGTAGTTTGCCTGGGACACTGCTCACTCTCTGGTGCCCTGTCTAGCTCTGTGATCTCTCCCTTTCCAGAACCACCTTTTCCCTTTGCTATATTAATTTCCAGGGCTGCTCTAACCAATTACAGGTTGAGCAGCACTTATCTGAAAACTAGGGATATGCAATGTTTCAGACTTCAGATTTTTATTTGGATTTTAGGATAACTGCACAGATGATACTGGTTGAGCATCCCTAATCTGGAAATCCAAAGTCTTAAATGCTCCAAAATCTAAAACTTTTTGAGTATCATTTTAGGGCAAATTCTAGGTGTCAGCAAGGCCCTGCTCATGACAAAAGCTCTGGGGAAGGACTCCTCTTAGCTGCTAGATGTTGCCTGCAATCCTTGGCATCCTGTTTATAGCTGCATCACTCCAATCTCTGTCACTGTTGTCTCCTGCCTTGTGTCCAGATATCCCTCTTCTTATAAGGGTATCACCCTTGGGGTTAGCGCCCACTCTGATCTAGTGTGAACTCACCTTAACATGATTGCGTCCTCAAGACCTTCTTTCCAAATAAAGTCACGTTCATGGGTACCCAAGAATTATGACTTTAACATACATTTGGGGGACAAAATTCTGTCCACTATAGTTACACACATAGATCTCACAAGGTTAACCTGAGAATATTTGGGTTCTTGAGATTTAAAAAAATTAACACATGGCCAGAGACTAATCTTGGGGAAGCGAGGGTGTTATGGCTTATGTCTGCATGTCCCCCAAAATCCTCATGCACTCATGGGGTGGGCTTCTAGATTTTTGATTGATCCATAGTCCAGTGTTAGAATTATGAAAGTGAGTGCTGCACCTGCCCTGGGTGGATAGCTGGCCTACAGTGTAAGGGAGGGAAAGAGGCTTGCTCTTCCCTCTGCCACTCCTCCCTTTTTGCTCTCGCTGCTTTTGCTGTTTTCCTCTGCCTGAACTGTTGCCCTCTGTCATGTGCCACTCTGCCTTGGAGCCAGCTGAGTATGGACTGAAACCTCCACAAACTGTGAGCTAAATAAACCTTTCTTTCCTTAATTCTGGGTGTTGGGTATTTTGTCTCAACAACAAGAGAAAATTAATGGAGACAGAGGGGAGACAGAGGGGAAAGCCAAAACCTCTAGTGAGGTTATTTAAGACTGACTTGTGTCTTGGACAGCTCTGACTGGCATGGAGAGTTCTCATGATTCCTGGACCTGGTCTGCATCCCTCTTCCTTTCCTCTTCTTGCTTAGCTCTGCCGGCTGAGGACTCGCATCTGGGGGTTTCCTTTGCTCCTTGCCCGCATCTTCCTGTGCTGCCTTTGGGAGGACCCAGCACCCTCTGGGCAGACCTGGAGAAAGATTACAGCCGTGGTCTCTGATGTCAGCCTGAGCTCTGGCAGCCCACTGCGGAGACTCAGGATTTTGGCTGGGGTTCTCAGCTGGGGGTCTGAGGCTTCCATCGGAGATGAAGTGTCAGTGGTCAGGAGGGACTTGTGGGGAAAGGGCACTGTCTGGGGCCTGGAGACCACCACACTGCTGCCACAGGACGAGGCTGGGTCACTGCCCCTCTTCACTGAGTCTCAGTTTCTTCTAAGGAAGGTGCTGAGCACACCTGCCTCTCTCACACTTTGGGAGAGAGCAAGAGAGGTGAGAAGTGATGCCGTCCACACAGCCAAGGGATTTGCCCGGACAGTAGCCTGGACAAGACTCACCAAAGATTGTGCTTCTACTCAGACATCAGTTTTTTCTTCCAGCGCAGGCTCAAAAACATGGTGCTGTTTCTAGGTGAGGCAAATCTGACATGGGAATGACTCAGAACTTCACATGCATTGTTTCATCTGTTGCAGATTGATTTCTTTCTGATACATCAGAGTTTGAACTCAGGGAGGAGGCAAAGTGCCGGCTGATTTTCCTTCGGGTCTCTCATTAACATTTTAAGCACTTCAAAGTGCACTGTTCTGTGGTAGTAAGGACGTGTTACTTCCAGAACTTTTTAAAACCACCCAAAACAGAACATACACATCTATCAAGCAGTCGCTCTTCATTCTCCTCACCTCCTTGCTCCAGCCCCGGCGACCACAGATCTGCACTCTATCTCTAAAAGTCTGCCTACTCTGTTTTTTTTTTTTTTTTTTTTGGTACCAGGAATTGAACTCAGGACTTTGCGCTTGCCAGGCAGGTGCTTGTGCCGCTGAGCCATACCCCCGGCCCGAGTTTGCCTACTCTGGACATTTCATATAAATGGATTCAGAACATGCGGCCTTTGGTGGCTGGCTTCTTTCACTTTCCATAATATTTTCAAGATTCATCCATGTTGTAGCTCCTTTCAATTCTTCCTTCCTTTTCATGGCTGAATAATATTTTATTGCACAGATGTGTCTTATTTTATTTCTTTATTCATTAACGAACATTTGTTTTTTTCCTCACCTTTTGGCTCTTGTGAATAGGATTACCATACCCATTCCGGTCTAAATGTTTGTTTCAACACCTGCTTTCAATTCTCCGGGGCCTACACCAAGGGCAGCCTTGCTGGTCATGTGTACTTCTGTGCTTGGGCTTACTGATAGACTTGCCACAGTGCTGTCCACGTTTTGCATTTGCATCAGTAGTGTGTGAGACTTCCAACTTCTCCTGGATAATGTTTTGTTTAACACTTGGTTTATTAATGCAACGACCCTTTTTGGGTCTGGCCTGGTGTCCTGGGCCATCTGACTGCTTGCTCCCTGTCTTTCTTGCTGTGGCCAGAGGTCCTAGAGCAGCCAGTATGTCACCCATTCTGATCCCCTCGGCGGCTTCTCTGGGTGGGTCACCTTGGACACTCATTTGGATAAGTGTTCTAGAGCCGTAGTGCTGATCCTGATAAGGAGGACATGGGACCTCTTGGGAAGTTATGGAGGCGGAGACAGCTCTGCCTAGCACAGAGAGTTCTTATGATTCCTGGACCAGGTCTGCATCCCTCCTCCTTTCCCCTTGTTGCTTAGCTCTGCCGGCTGAGGACTCGCATCTGGGGGTTTCCTTTGCTCCTTGCCCGCATCTTCCTGTGTCTTCCTGTAATGGGCCTCCTGGCACTCCTGGATTTTCTCATGTGCAAGACACCAATCTTCCACTCTCTTTTCTACTCCACACCCTTTACTCCTGCTCTGTTCCTAGGAGGGGACTTTGTTGTCGTTTGGGGGAGAAGAAAGGACATCCCAGTTTGTCCTTAAACATGTGGCCATGAACTCATAAAAACTCCCACAATAATCCACAACGACTCATTTGTATGCAACCAACCAGGCTGAATCATCCAAGGAAATGTATCATTTAATCTCAGTGTTCCGTTGTGATACAAAAAAGTGAGGTCAAAGGATTGCCCAGTCAGCTGGTGTGACCTTGAGCACCCAGCCACATTTCCTTTCCTCTAAGCTGGGAGCAGGAACCCTCGCTAGAGAGCCCCACGCCCGGGTCATCGGGAGGGTCTGACTCTGAGTCCCTACCCTGATAGCCTCTTTCACGGGGCAGCATTTTTATCCCTAGGGTCGAGTGGAGAGTCCTTGCTGTTTGTTGTCATAATTGCCTTGAGCAGACGTTCCCCGGCCCCCTCCTCACTGCCCTTTGTAAGGGGCTGCTGTGAGGAACACCAGCCATTTTGGAAGAGCAGGCCTGGCCCAAACCACCTTGGTGGATGGCTACCTCAGGAAGAGGTTGAGGAGACAGTGATGTCTGACAAGAATCCTCAGCTCTGACTGGGGAATGTTGACAGAAAGTGTTTCTGGCGCCCAGATGCATTCCGTTTTGGGTTTTTAGTTTTTCACAAGCTATTACAGGAAACAGTGTTTTCAAAAACAACGTTGTCCCTGGCCCAGTGGCACCCGGTCATTCCATGTGAGCAGTCCCCATTCGCTGAGGGAAAGCCCAAAATATGCAGGCACATGAGCCACTGGCTCGGCACATGAGGCCGCATAATTTTCGCTGCCCGTGGCTAGGTGTTCTGGCAAGAGCTCAGCCAGGTGTTTAGGAATCAGCCTGCAGGCCTGACTTTTGGCCCTTTCCAGGCCCGTGGGGTCTCTGTGGGCTCAGAATTCCAAAGACAAAGGTACATTCTAGGACCTGCTCAGAACCAAGAAGGGGCGTGCTTCACATTCATGGAAATTCTATTTGGACACTGAAGCTGGTGTAGACCTGGCAGGGATTCTACACCACAGTGATTTCCATGTGGAGGTTACCAATCCGAGGAGTGGGAAGAGGCACTAATAGAGGAATGGTCAGTGTAATCTTTTCTTGCCAGCTTTTTTTTTTCCTTTTCAGCCAATGAAAAAGACAGATGTTAATGTTTTTGGCCACATGGCCCAGAATTGAACTGCTTGCTTAGAAAATGTCAGTGTACCTCAATTCTCAAGGTTGACATTTGGTGTTGGATTTGGAGAATGAAAAGTGGAGAAAAAAGAAGTGGAGAGGAACCTAGGATGGATTAATATTTCTTTTCCTTCCCTCATCTCCTCCCTTTCTGCTCTAGGCTGACAAGAAGGTAAATAAATAATGGACGTTTGGTCTGAGGGCGCCCTGGGTGGAAACGGTAGTGTGCAGAGATGGCTGGAGAGGGAGCCTTTTGTCTCTGAGCTGCCTGGCTGTGTCCCCGGCTCCCAGCCTTGACCACATACGCAGCACGTGCCTCAGGGTACACCCCACAGCACACACAACCCACATCCTCGTACCTCCCTCTCTCCTGTATGCCACGCATGCAGACCACCTCCTAACGCCTCACACAGGTCGTAGATGTACACCATGTACCTTCACACACACACATCTCACACACATGCCACGCACATACACCACACACACACTACACGCTACACCCCCCCACATTATGCACTCACATATCACACACACACACACACACACACACACACACACACACCCAGAGGCTGCTGAGACAAGCCTGTCCCGGGTCCCTCACGGCACCCTGTTCCTTGCCCAGCAAGTAAGGCGAATGCTGGGAAAAGATCAGCAGGTGCGTTAGCTTCCTAGCGCTGATGCGACAGAGTTCCACCATGGGGTGTGTTAAACAACAGGAAGGTATTGTCTCACGCTCTGGAGGCCAGGTCTGACAGCTGTGAAGGAGAATGAGAATCTTCTGGTCTCTTGCCTGGCTCCTGGTGGTTGCTGGCAATCTCCAGTGTTCTCTGGCCTAGGGATACACGCTGAGATGCCTGCCTTCGCCTTCACATGGTATTCTCCCGGCAGGGACATCTCTGTCCAGATTTCCCTCCTCACATTGGGTTAGGGCCCATGTGACTCCTACTTGACCTCACTTTAATGTATATCTGCAAGGTCTCTATTTCCAAATAAGGCGACATTCTAATGTACTAGGGAGTTAGAATTTCAACATATGACTTTGAGGGAGAGAATATAGCTTAAACCCTAAACTGGGAACACAGGTTCTCTCCCTCCTGGGGCTTACTTTGGACTCTGGACTAAAGACTTAGGGCTTGGCTACATGTCTCAAAAACAAACAAGCTGTCCAGGGTCTTGAGCAGGTCAGGGGCTTCATTTTCTGAGGAATGCAAAGGTCAGCGAAGACCTATGCCCGACTCTTCAAGAGGCTTAGGGCTTGGTCACAGGAAAGCTTGACAATCATTCAGGCCGCCATGGCTGCCAGCGCCGTTTAATGGTTACTGTCCATTTTGGCGTCACAACAAAACCACCTTGAGGGGCAGGTCTGGTAAGAATTCCCATCTTAGAAGAGAAAGAAACTTGTGCATAGATGATGCCATCAGCTGGAATTGGAGCTATGGTCCTCAGCTACCGCATGTGGCCTTCTCCGGAAGTAGAGCCGGGGACATAGAACTGGAGGGGCTCCTATGTCCCTCACATTTGGGGGGCTCTGGAAAGGTTTTGTGAAGCTGGTCCATTGAGCAGGCCTCGGAGGGAGGGAGCTGAGGGGCAGGGGAGATTTTTAAAAAATGGACACTTTATGGCTGTACACATTTATGAGGTGGGGCTTGCAGTTTTGATACACGTACACATTGTATAACGGTCAAATTAGGTTGTAAGTGTATCCATCACCTGACACCTTATCATTTCTTGGTGGTGAGAAGTTCTCAGAGGGCTTTCCTGGCTATTTGGAAACAGGGATACAGTGCCTTATTGTTAACCCTGGCCAGCCTGCTGTTTTCCTCCTGTCTAACTGCGACTTTGTATCCACGGCCCCTTTTTTTCTCTCCCTGCCTCTCCTTCCTGTCTCTGGTAACCATTGTTCTGCCCTCTGCTTTCTTCCTGCTCAGCTTTTTAAAGATTCCACCTACAAACGAGCTGGTGTGGTGTTTGCCTTTCTGTGAGTGGCTTACTTCACTTCACGCAGTGCCCTCGCTTTAATCCGTACTGTCTCGAATGATGGCATTTCATTGCGTCTTATGGCTGAAGAGTATCTCATTGTAAAGGGACCATATTTTCTTTACCACTGTCTGGTCTCTTCCAGCTCCTGGCTGTTGAGCGTAGGGCACAGTGGACATGGGTGGGCAGGTGACAGTTATGCGCACAGGCTGCCAATTGGAAGTGTCCTGGTCCCACCAAAACTGCCCAGTCCCATGTCGAACGTGGAGACGTGGATTCTCACCCGCTCTGTGTTACCCATTGCCACCTGTGTCACCCACTGACCTCAGTCTCTATCCAAAAATAGAAAGCCCTTACAGCTCAAACCCAGTCCTTGAGGTCAGCAGAATTCCTCCTCTAAACTCTCCTCTTTTGACACAAATTCCTCCCATATCTTTGGTACACGTCAGTTAATGCAAATAAATCTGGAGGATAACAAAGCTGGCCTCTTAATTTCATTACAGGCTCCTGTCCCGCCCCCAGGGCTCAACCCCTCTGGGTCCTAGTCAATATGGGTGGGCTCTGACTCCAGGATGACAGCGACCTGCAGGTCAGGTGTGCTCTGACCTCCTGGAGCCTTCCCATAGCAGAGTTGAGCCAGCGCAGGTCTCCAGCCCCATTCCCGCTCCCTCATTTTCCCAGGCTTAGATGGCTCCAGAGCGCACGTGGGACCTTGGCAGGCAGGACCAGGACGGAGCGGGGAGGCTGCAAATGTCTGCAGAGCCCTGCGCTGTTTCCAGATGCATTCCCATGCATTATTTACTCTGGGATCTTACAAGAGCTCTTTGGGGCGCCAGCCAGATAAGACATTCCCATTTTACAGCTGGGAGAAAGATCCCTCTGTGACTTATGCAAGATCCCACCGTCTTGCCCAGGTTGGACTCAAACCTGCAATCCTCCTGCCTCAGCCTCCCATAGTGCTGGGGTTACAGGTGTGTGCAACCATGCTATGCCAAGCGAGAGGCAGCTTCTTGAGAGAGGATGCCCATGGAGCAGAGGGAGAGTGCTGCTTACAAGAATGGGAGCTCCCAAGAGGGGTCTGTGTTTCTTTTACGCATGGCTTCTCTGGGGGAAGGGATGGTGCCCACTGTCGCAGCTTGGACAAGAGGATTTGTGTGTTGCATTTAAACATAAGAGGAAAGACAAAGCCCATCTTTGGGACAACTGGCAGAATGGCTTCAGCCAAGGACTATTCCTAAGAGACATTTACCAGCTCTCTCCCGGATCTTTTCATTGTTTTGCCTACATTTCAATCACAGCCCCGTGGGAAGCCTCTTCTTTTTATTGAAATACAGACTCAGTGGGGAGGCACATACCTCAGGGGGCTGAGGCCAGGCCTGCTGCCTGGTGAGTGCTCTTCCGCCTGTCCCCAGGGGAGGGAAGAATTTGGCTTGGAGCAGCTCTGACCTCGGGATGACCTCAGGGAGAGAGCTGCAAGATCTGGGCCCACAGATCCCAAGTGTCTGCAGAGTCAGATGCACAGGAAGGCCAGACGGGCAGCTCAGAGGAAGGCTCTGGTCCCCTCCCCCAGCCTCCCTGTGTCATGCCAGGCTTGGATTGCGGAGTTGCGGCCCGGCCAGCCACCCAGACTCAGTCTCTGGCCCCTGTCCCTGGGAAATCAGGGACCATCTTGAGGGGCTGAACCAGGGTGAGTGTAGACCTGTGGTGACGCCCACTTCTCCCCATCAAGTTCTCAAATATATGTGAGTGGTGCCGTGAATAACACAACAATCAAAACGTTTCATTGGTCTCATTTAATATATAGTCATGTAACACATGCTAACATTTAACCTTGACCAACATTTAATGGAGACTAAAAATAACAGGGACAAATGAAATGATTTAACTCTGCTACTGGCTGAATTGTATCCCGCCAAGGCCCATGGATATATCAAAGTGTAAACCCCTAGCCCCTCAGAATGTGACTTAACTTGGAGATTGGGTCTTTGGAGATGTGATTAAGTTAGAACAAGGTTGTTTGAGTGTCCCTACTAGGGCATCTGGACACACAGAAATGCCAGAAAAAGTACTGTGAAGACACACAAGAAGGCAGCTGTCTGCAAGATAAAGAGTGAGGCCTTGAGAGAAACCAGTCCAGCCATACCTTGACCTTGGACTGCTGACCTCCAGAACTGAGACGGGACATTTCTGCTATTTAAGCCAGTCAGTCCATGGTGCTTTGTTATGGTAGCCAAGCTGACCAGTATGGTCACTGAAGGAGGTGTCCTGCTTGATGGCCTAGTGTTGTCCCACCGCCAGGTCACTGTGTGACATACCTGATGGTTGACACTCTTGAGCTGAGATGCTTGTCCTTGGCTGGTGGATCCCTTAGATTTTTTAGGGAGGACCATGGCTGGCCACCACTAGCCCACCTTGCCCCTGCCCCTGCCTCTGGCCTTTGATCTGGGCGCCAATTTTCACTAAGGCTTGTCTCGCAAAATGGTGTCATTATTATTATTGACAGCTGGAGTTATTATTAGAACTATTATTATAGCCATATGGGATATCTCAGTCGTGAACTCTTGGCCTAACTATGTGGTTGGGTCAGAGTGATCTAATTTTTCACCCGTCTCTTCTGCACAGATGATCAAATTAGCCTTTTTAATCTGTGTCCTGATAGATTCTTCAACATGCAGGTGCTTTTAAAAGGAGTAATCTAAGCTCCAAGTATAAGCTTAGAGTGGTTCTATCCTCCAGTAGATGGTCCTTTAATTTTTTTAATAAAAGCTGTGTCTCATGGGTTATACACAAAGGCCTTTGTAAGCTTTATAAGTCCTCCGAGATTCAGAAACATACTAGAATGAAACTAGAAGACCAGGATAAAGTGCAGTTGTGATTTCCACTTGAACTAGAAGGAGATGGAGTTTGCAATGGGAGGATTGAGGGTGGCTT